CCCCCTCTGTTTTCTTTCTCCCTCTTCTCCTCCTCTCTGCCCTTGCTCTCTCCTTTTCTGTCCCCCTCCCCTTCTGTACCTATTTGGCTCAATCTTCTGTCTGTGTGATTAAGTTTTGTTGTGTTGTTCATCTTTTTTTTGCGTAAGTAAGCTCTTGTCCCCCTCCAGCCCAGCTTCTGTTTCTTTCCTCCCTCCTCTCCGCCCCTGCTCTCTCCTTTTCTGTCCCTGTCCCCTTTTGCATCCCCTTGACTGAATCTTGTGTCTGTGTGGTTAAGTTTTATTGTGTAGGTCGCCTGTTTTGCTAAGCAAGCTCTCCCCTGTTTTGTGTTTGTTACATTGTTATCAGCAAAATTTTTGTAGTTGTTTTTCAGGGTATCAAATCACGCTGATAAAAATCGCATGGAAATTCACAATTTGGCAATTATGTTTGGCCCGTCGCTGTTTAGCAGTGGTAATGAAGTGAACAACGAGAACCGAAAAGGTTCCTCGAAGAAAGGTAAAGGATCGGAGAAGAAATCGAAGGAGAAGCCGGCCGGTGTCCAGAGCAATTCACATCTTGCCTTTAACATGATCATGCAGGGACAGACCGTGGAATATTTGCTAAAAGAGTTCAAAAGATTCCCATCCATGCAGACAGCCCCCGTTTCGTCTCGTAAGTGACAGTACAAGTGTGCCTTCCTTGTGCTTTTATATCCATAGCTTCAAGAATATTGCTTTCTTCGGCTGAAGCAATAAGTTTTCGGCCTGTGATAGTCAAAAAAAAAAAATGATTTAAAGAACTCAGAAAATTCAGAAAGCTAAGGAAATTCATCTTTTTGGAAGTTAAGAAATGATTTTTAAAAAAACTCGGAAATTTCCTAAAATTCAAAAAATTCAACTTTTTTGAGGGAAAAAATCATCGGCTGATCAAAAAAGTACGATGAACGGTAATGAGTTATCAGTTGCTGAAAGTATCGTGATAAAAATCGGCGTTTAGTTTTTCAGTTATTTTTATTGAAAATTGTCCTATGCTAGTTTACATGTGAAAATCGCAAAATTCATCTTTTTGGGGAAAAAATCATCTTTTTTTGGGGGGAGAAAAATTCCACATTTCATAAAATTCGGAAAAATCATCTTTTTGGAGAAAAAAAATCATGGTCTGATCAAAAAAAAAAAAAAATATGATGCGCAGTAGTGAGTTATCAGCTCTTCAAAGTATCATAATAAAGGTCGGTGTTTGGGTTTTTTTTTTTCAGTTATTTTCATTAAAATACTTCGACAGTTAATTTTTTCCTAAACTTTTTTGCTGTTGTTTCTGCTTAAATGGCTTTTGTTGGATGTTATTTTCCGGGTAGAAGATGGTATTTCTTTATTTTTGCGTATTTATTTTGCTTGCTTGTAGCACATTTTCATGCCCCAGCATGTGTATTCAAGCATGAGCATTTCGATTTTTGGAGAGGTAATTAGAGAATTTGTGTCGAAAAAAACTGAAAAAGCCTGGTAAATCTCTTTATGGTAGCATTCAGCTGCTTTAAAAATTTTGCTACTCGCCATAAACTTTGTTACTTATCAAAAATTTTACTACTCATCAAAAATTTTGCTTTTCGTCATAAATTTTTTTGCTTATCGCAAATTTTTCAACTTTTCATAAATTTTGCTGTTCGTCATAAATTTTGTTACTCATCAAAAATTTTGCCAATCCTCGTAAATTTTGCTGCTCGTCAAAAAAAATAAAAAATTTTGCTACTTATCAAAAATTTTACCATTCGTCGTAAATTTTTCTGCTCATAAATTTTGTTACTCGTAAATTTTCCTACTCTTCATAAATTATGCTACGCGACATATGTATATATATTTTGGCAGTTCTTGGCAAATTTTTTTTGAATTTCTTTTATTCATGCCAGCTGCATAGATGGCGAACCACATCTTCCAGAATTCTCGATTAAGCGGTTTATTTGCATTGAAATACACATGTCTGAATGCCTTGAATGCGCCTGTGTTCTGTCTGCTACATTCCAATCATTCCGTTGCGTTTTCGGTTCCGGAATGAGCAAAAATTTTTGGCTTTTTTTTGCCAGCAAAGCAATTTTGCCGTATTGTATTATTCATACATATTGTATAATATTCGGATGTAAGTGTCGTGCTTTTTTTCTTGTAATTTTACCGTGCAGTATATTAACTTATTACTATAGGACAGTTTTTACCTACTTTGACTCAA